TTCCTTAACAATTATTAAAGTATATATTTTAAAATAAATTTTTCTAAACTATTCCATGGTGTACTGTGTCAAAAGCATAAATCATTAAACTATGGTATAACATTCACAAATGCATTTGATATAGTTATATAATATACTTTATTTTTATTGATATATGCTTTATAATGTTAGCTTTATTAGTTAGGCGACTGAGTAAGATAAATGTAATTCTTTTGTTTTCTTTAGTTATTGGAAAACGAAAAAAGTTTTTTGAACATTAAAAAACAGTTTTTACTTTAATAGTTTGTAAAAAAACCTTAAAAATAAAAAATAAAAAAATGATTATAATTAGAAAGCTGCACAAGTGAAAAACTTAAAACCACCTAAAAACTTTCTTACCTGCTTAATATCTTTTAAATAGTTTTTACTTGATAAAAAAAAGTTCTTAATCAAACGCTGTTGCATTAATTCAATTAAATCAATTAAAATAATCAAACAAATTAAAAAATATGTCAAATTATTTATAGAACTAAGAAATATAGTTCCATTAAAGAGGCAGTTATTACACAAAAAAGTATCATTATTTTAGATTTTTCTTAGTTAATTATGGAACTGTTTTTTACAAATAATGAAAATAAAAAAAAGAAAAGCATAGAAATTTTAGCTTAATCGACAAAAATCTCAAAGTTTTAAAATAGGTAATAAATTTCATTAAATTATAAATTAGAGAATCACACAAACATTTAAAACATTCTTAAAAAAAAAGGCTAAAAAAATTCTGAAAAATAGACAGATGAAATATGTTTTTAAAAAAGTGCAGAGGGAATAATCTTAATAGAAAAAAAAATTTGTAACAAATTTTTATTCTAATGGCAAACATACATAATGCCTCTATAACAACAACAACAACAACAACAACAACAACAACAACAACAACAACAACAACAACAACAACAACAACAACAACAACAACAACAAGTTATTTATTTTCCATTTAAAAATCATTTTTACAATAATAAGGTAAATAATAATAACAATAATAAAATAATAAGCAATAGTAATAATTTATAACAATAATAATAATAATAACAAAAAAAAAATATAAATAATAATAATTACTATAATAATAAGTAAAATGATATGTTATTTCTTATTATAATAAGTTAATGATTAGTATGGATGGTGTCACTCATACAGAAGTCTGATCAAAGGAGTGACACCATTTTCCAAAATAATATGACTAATAATAAACATATTGACATAAAACATAAAACATAGACACACATTAAGTAAACTTTTTAAAAATCATATAAATGTAATAACAAAAGAAAAAAGAAAAACAAACAAAAAATAAGGATAATTATTATGGTGATAGAAAAAAATTATAACAAAATATTTTTCAGAATTTTTTTTAAATTAATTTTGATTAAGATTAAGAAAAGATGACAAAAGAGTTTGGAGTAAGAGTTTATTGAACTCATTCACAATGCACACTAGGCTCTTGTTCCATTCACAGATGCACTGATACACAACAGAATTCTAACCATACTTTTGAGTTTTATATGATGGTACAATAAGTTTTCCATTATTTATATTTCGCGCAGAATTTGTATGAATTAGTCTACTTTCTATAAAAAAATTTGCGATAGAAGAAGGTAAATTTTTATTTAGTGAGTTAAAAACAAAAAGAAGATTAGCAAACTTTACTATCAAATGAAAGGTTGGAATTTAAAGTTTTTTAAAAGAATCTGATGTATCTGAATTGAAAGGTTGAAAGTTTATTATTCAAATGGATTGGCGTTGAGATGACATTAGTTTGTTGATATGATAGTTGCCAGTTTGACCCCAAACTTGACAGCAATAACTAAGATGAGATTAAAATAATGCATAGTAAATATTTAAAATAGTAACTTTATTAACATAATGTCGAATTACTGAAAGCATACCATTTGCACGATTAAGTTTCTTGTGCAGCTCATCGATATGAAAGATCCACAAAAGATTGCAATCAATTAACACACCAAGATATTTAATAACTGTCGAGGGGTATGGTCACTTTTATTTATTATGATTTTAATTTCAATGTTGTTACAGTTTTTTCTGTTGTTGTTAAAGTTTTTTCTAGGAGATGAAAAAAAATTAGTTCAGTCTTTTCAGTATTAAGACATATTAGGTTGGCATTTAACCAATGAACTATACCTTCAAGATCTGAATTTATATTTTTACATAGAGAATAGTATGATTTATTGACATGCAAGAGATTGGTATCATCTGCAAATAGATGAACCAACGAGAAGTGAACAGAGTTACTTAGATCATTAATGTAAATTAAAAACAAAAGAGGACCATGAACGGAACCTTGAGGAACACCACATGTAACACGTTTGTTACTAGAAGTATAACCATTAATACTTACATATTGTTAACGGTCCAAAAGATAAGATCGAAAGCAATCACTTGCAACTCCATGAATTCCATAATGTTCTAACTTAGAAATCAAAATGCTATGATCAACGGTATCGAAAGCTTTTTGTAAATCGATAAAAACACCACAAGCAAAATGACCAGTATCAAGAGCTTTTCTAATTCTTTTCAGTTATATTTATTAGTGCGTGGCAGGTAGAATGGTTTGATCGAAAACCAAATTGAAACTCATTTAAACTCATAAAAGTTAAAAGAGTTTAGAAAAGAGTACATTCTAGAATACATTAATTTTTCAAGAGGCTTACCAATGTTAGATAAAAGAGAAATAGGTCTATAGTTAGTACATAAAAAAATAGAGCCATTTTTGAAAAGTGGAATAATACAAGATAATTTTAAAATATCAGGAGAAATCCCATTCATAAATGAGATATTAAATAGTGTAAAGAGAATATTTGAAAATTCGTAGTAAAAATCAATAAGAATGTTTGCAGGAATACTGTTTGGACCTAATGATTTTCTCGGTTTCAATTTAGATATAAGAGATGAAATTTCAGGAATGTTTGTTGGAGATAAGAGTAGACTATGAAAGTTTGGATATTAAGAACTTTTGATAGTTGACGTAAGACGAATGAATATTGGATTTAAGTTTAGGAGCAACATTTGTAAAAAAAGTGTTAAATTTTTCTGAGATTAGGTTCAGTTAAATATCATCTTCTAAATTTCTAAACAGTTGGGAGATAAGCTGTTATAATTTTTGACATTTATTAGATTAATAATGCCTTTCCAAATTTCGCAAAGATTTTTTACATTATCTGAAAAGAAATTTTTAAAATGTATTTTCTTGCTAAGTTTAATTAAAGTAATTATCATGAATTTATATCGCATAAAAATAGTTTTAAATGTGTTTATATTTATTAAATCTTTTGATTTTAACTTTTTTTTTTTGAAAAAGATTGCTATTTGAATAGATTTTATGATTCCTTTTGTAATCCATGGTTTAAATCGACGTTTGAAGCTCCTAATACTAGTTTACATTTTAAGTGTTCATACTACGTACTATCTACATAATTACATTACAAAGTGAACTTATGGTTTATAGGTTATTCCATATGAAAATAATTTACTTTTTAAAGTGAAAATAAATTTGTTTACCAACTCAGATTTAGTTTAAATTTTTTCAATCAACAGTTTTTATATATAAATAAAAATCAACCCTACAAATTTTAGCTTACTTGATCTATACATCAATAAGCAACAATTGAAAATATATGACCAAACAACTGACCAAAATCTGGAATAATTAAGTATTAAGGGCTAACAGTAAACTTTTCTGATTTTGACATAACTTGTCCACAAGAGAAAACTTTACTTCTAAAAAATATTTTTTCCCACACCTTAAATCATTGTGATATCAATGAAAATATTTTATTAACCATCCATTCGGCTAAAATTTAATTAGCCTTGTTACAGCATTAATTTAAGTCATATAACAGTATTTTCAAATATATTATTTATCAATTGATTTTCATATTATTATTACTATCAAGGAATTTTTATGCTATATTATCTCATATTCTTCAGCTTTGTTTTAATTTTCACAACTTTGGTGTTTTAAAAGGATCTTATATCCTTCATGTTTAAATTTTTATATTTTAGCAGGTAACATTTTCAATGATTTTTTTTGTAATGTTTTTTCCACTATCATATATTATTTAATTTTTGTTACATTTACAATCTTACATTTTAGATTAACAAAATTCAAATGAAGTATCTATGACAATGTTAGAGTTTATTGAAAACTTTATTAGACTTATTGTGTATAATTTATAAAACTTATTGACTTTATAAGACTTATTGTGTTTTATTTATTTTAAAAGGGTTTTTAATAGGGTATATTGCAATTTGATTGTCTTTGGTTTATTTATTCTGGAAGCACATATTTGGTTTTAATTGTCTTAGAGGGAAATTTATTATTATTTTTGTTTACATACTTGAGTTATTTTAGTTTTGCTTTGGTGTTTTCATTAGAATTTTAATTTATTGTGAGTTCATGTTTTCTACCAGTGGTGTGGTAAATGTATTATTTATTTATTTTCATTCTTAGGCTTAAAATATTTGTATACATACTTTTTATTTTGTATTAAATTTTTTGTTTTATAAGTTTTTGTTTGGTGATATTTGTTGTATATCTGTTTATTTTTGTTTGAAAAAAAAAAAAAAATTTAATTGTAAGTACTGTTTGAGAGCATTGTCTGTCTTATTGTTGCCATCGTATTTGTATATTTTTGAATATTCATCTTATAATCTTTATTTTTGTCTTGACAACCAACAAAATATGCTTTGTTTGAAAAATAAATCCCTTTTATTCTAATGTACATCCGTTTTCCCTTAAGTGTTGATTGATTGTTTGTGACCATACAGCAAATTTATGTGCATAAATATTTTAAATTTTAGTTCTTTTGTGTAACTACTGGTATGCCTAAATTTTGGTTCTTTTACTTATGTTACCATAAGTTTTTGTACTTATGTTACCATGAGTACAAAACAACCTGTGATAAAAATTAAAACTACGCATTAAATAATAAATAAAAGCCTACAGCTTGTAAAAAAAAAATTTGTTTATAAATTATAGACTTCTTTTTCAACTATAGCTGATTGTAGTGTAACCAGGAACATGGTGAAAATCAAACTCAGAACCTCTCACTTACAAATCACTACACCATTACATCATTAATTAAGAAGATTTCAAACTAAAAGTAAAAAGAAAAAATAGTACAAGTATATTTATAAAGTGGACTACTATATAAATATACTGGTATTATTTTACTATTACACTACTGTACTGCATAAAAAAAAAGCTGCAGTAGTGCAGTAAATTAATTACATTTTTATAGCACAACTTTAGTGTAATATATATATATATATATATATATATATATATATATATATATATATATATATATATATATATATATATATATATATATATATATATATATATATATATATATATATATATATATATATATATATATATATATATATATATATATATATATATATATATAAATATATATATATATATATAGTATGAATTGCTAAATCTGCAGAATATTATGTTTCTGGATTTTAGTATTTTAGCATGAAAAATAGGAAAAAAAAAAGCCTGAGATTTGGAAACTTAAAAAAAACAAAACTGAGAGCTAGAAGCAGTAAAAAAACAACATAAAAAAATGGACGCTGAAAAAAACAGCAAAAGCCTGAAAGCTAAGAACTGAAAAAAGCCTGAGTGCTGGAAGCTGAAAACAAAAAAAAAAACCTAAAAGATAAGAGTTGGAAAAAATAGCCGGCAAGCTGGTAGCTGAAATAAAAAAAAACAAGCCATGGAGCTAATGGCTTGAAAAAAAAGCCTGAAAGTTTTAAACTGAAAAACAAACAAAAAAAAAAAAAAAAAAAACTTAAGATAGGAAACTGGAAAAAACAAAAAAATAACCTGAACACTAGAGGCTTAAAAAAAAACGAGACCTAAAATCATGAATTATAATATAAGCCATAAAACTGGAAGCTAAAAAAGAGAATAAAAGTTGGAAGCTGGAAAAAAAAAGCTTTAAAAATGGAAGCTTAAAAGAAAAGCCTGAAATCTTAAAGAGGGTTAAAAAACAACTGAACCATGAAAGCCTACTAGAGTCTAAAAGCTGAAGGCTTGAAAATGAAAAAAATTTGAAAGCAAGAAGCTGGAAAAAAAAATATATAGCCTAAAAAATAGAAGTTTGAAAAAAAAGAGAAATAAAAGCCATAAAACTGAAGAATGAAAAAAAAAAGTTTTAAATTTTAAAGGTAAAAAAATAAAAAAAAAAATCCTTAAAAATAGCTTTTTTTGTTTTTTTTTTAACTGGACACTAATAAAAAAATAAAGCCTGAAAGCTAAAAGATAAAAAAAAAAAAGAAAACAAAAAGCCTAAAAAATCAAAATTTGAAAAAATTTGAAAGGTGGAAAAATAAAATAAAAAAGACTTTAAAATGAAAGTTGGAAAAAACAAAATAAAGCCTAAAAAATAGAGGCTCGAAAAATAAAAATTACTTGAGACATGAAACAGCCTTCTCCGTTTTGCCAGCACTTTTGCGCTGAAGCCTTTTTACGCTCGCTCACACGCTCGCAAAAACTTTGGCAAACGCATAAAAAAGCACTTGTTAAAAAACTTTTTTGTTCATTTGTTTAATTTTTATGAAATAAGGCCTTTCTCTTACAAGATTTTTATAAATTTATTTTATCTGGTATTTATTTAAAACACTTTTTCTCTATTTTATTATAATTTAAATAGCAGAAAAAAAATTGCGTAGGCTAAGTTAAAATTGACCATTCTGCCAGTGCTTTTTTGTGCGCTGGCATTAATTTTTAAACATTGAACTTCAAACGGTGGACTGATGAAAGGGAAAAAGGGAAAAAAATAGAAACTGGAATTAAAAGTCCTAAAAGGTGCATGCTGGGAAAAAAAATCCTTAAAGCTGGAGGCTAGAATAAATAAACAATCCAGAGAGCTGGAAGCTTGAAAAAAAAAACACATTCTTGAAAGCTAAAAGCTAGAATAAAACAGGGGAAAAAAAATCCTAAACCTGCTGGGAAAAAAAAAAAAAAAGCCAGAGAGCTGAAGACTAGAAAAAAAAACAACCCTGAAAAATGAAGATGGAAAAAAAAATCCTGAAAGCTGAAAGCTTTCAGGTATTTTTTTCTTTCTTTTCAAGCTTCAAGCTTTCTTTTTCAGGACTTTTAATTCCGGTTTCGATTTTTTAACCTTTTTCCCTTTCATAAGTCCACTGTTTGAAGTTCAACATTTAAAAATTAATGTCAGCGCACAAAAAATAAGAAAAAATGCCTTTAAGTTGGAAGATGGAAAAAAAAACCATAAAAAATGGAAGTTAAAAAAATAGCTTAAAAGCAGAAAATAGGATTAAAAAAAAAGCTCGTAAGCTGGAAGCTAAAAAAAAAAAAAAAATAAATAAATTAATTAAATCGGGAAAAGAATAGCCTGAAAGTTGGAGCTATTTTGATGAGCTAAATGATGAATTTAATTACAAAAATATATCCAGGAAAAATACTTTGTTTCATTGTGCATAAATAACTGAAAAAGGTTCTGCATATAAAGGTTATATGCGAAGACAAATAAAAGATCACTACATCTTTAGCAGTATATTGAATTTGCAGCAAAACCACCTAATTTAAGTTCATTGAGAGTGTTTGCTTGAGTTATATAATTTTTACCCTGAAGTTAAATTTGTATATGTATACATTCTCTTCTTTTAATTGATTTTAGTCCTTTTTATTTTCACTTTCATGTTATAACTTATGAATCTTTTTGTTATACTTTTAAATTACAAAAGCACTTGAAAAAAACTTAAGGTCTTTTTTTATATGGTAATTGTCTATAGATATCTTTTTTTTGGTATTGATCTACACCTATATTTTTAATTTATTTTATATGAAGTATTTTTTTTTTAATAATTTGCAAACTGTAAAGCTTCTTTTTTGTTTTGACAAAGACAAAATAATTATTTATAAATAATAATTTTTCAATGTAAAAAGTAATAATCTAACTTTTCAAGAATTTTGCTAAAAAAAATGATAAAGTTTGCAAATGAAAAGGGTTTACAGCCTTTCTTTTGATAAAAATGGTCAAATAAATTATATATTATAAGACAAATACAAGTAAAAAACAATTAAAATATAAAAAACAATTTTATACCGACCTCTGAAAAAAGTTTATGTTTGAAATTTTCTCACTAGTAATATTGTACAGCTATTTGAAATTCTCAAAGAAAAACATGAGCATTACCATGGTTACTAAATGCAGTCTAGTCATTAAACTCTCTAGCCATTAGCAGCCTCTAGAATATAAACTACTTGTTTTAAAACTAACAATGATCATTAAAAATATATACATGCAATGAAAATAACAGACAGCAATAAAAATCGTGAAAATAAAGAAAAAATATCAGATAGTTATGAAAACCAAACACTAAAATATTATTTCTGGCCTCATAAAATTTATTGAGAATATAATGATGATGATGATGGCGATGATGATGATGATGATGATGATGATGATGATGATGATGATGATGATGATGACGATAACATGATGATGATGATGATGATGATGATGATGATGATGATGATGATGATGATGATGATGATGATGATGATAATGATGATGATGATAACATGATGATGATGATGATGATGATGATGATGATGATGATGATGATGATGATGATGATGATGATGATGATGATGATGATGATGATGACGATGATGATGATGATGACAAAATTGATTTATTATATTGATGATATAATGTGAGAAATATCTAACTTGATGATGAATTCATACAAGAGTTGAATTTAGTGATTGTTATAGATCATTCTGTTTTCAAAGTTTCAAAATAAAATTTTGAGATTTTGAAAAAAGAATAATAAATTACTCTCTGTTTTATATACATTTTTTTGATAATGTTTACATTATACTGTTTGACTTCATTATTTGGACCACACATATTATCTGGATCAAACTGTTTTCAAAGTTTTAAAAGAAAAATTTGGAATCTTGAAATACTGTTTGACTTCATTTTTTATTTTTGTCCGATGAAATCACTACTAATGTTATTATTCAACTTTGTTAATCATACTGCAGTTTTAAAGTTGTTCTTCTCAACACTTTTCTTTATTATCAGTAACTTCTAGAATTTCACAGAATCCTGAGTTGCTTCTCATATATCGATCTATATATCCATTGCAAAGGTAAAAATATACCTAGTGAATTTGTTCTATTATGTTTTTAAAATTCCAACCTTGGAAATGTCAAGGTTGAAAGTGAATTTTTTAAATATATTACTTTGGTAATTAAAACTTAAACATTTTTCAGTTATGTGTTGCAAAACAAATGAGATGATGTAATGATTGCATATTATGATGCAAAACAAATGAGATGATGTAATGATTGCATGTGATAATTATTATTACAAGCCATGCTCATCATAGACATTATCAACAGTAAAAGTTTATGTTAACTGTTTTATTTACTAGACACTTAAAATAAAAACTTTGATAATTAAATTTTGATATTCCAAGAATTTATTGGACCTTTTGGATCATGTTCTGCAATTTTAACCTAAATTGTTCTCTGAACCTCCTTTAAAATCTCCTTAAAAAACTAAACTGTGTTCTACTAGATAGTGACTGCAGTGAGCATGAGATACTAACATGTTTACCATAGTATTCCAACATGTTAAAGCAAATAATTCCATTACTCTATGCACGAGATTGTATCAAACTAAAAGATAGAAATCTTGAAAAAACACTCTGTGGTTCTTACAATGAAATCAATTTGTTTATAGTTATGTTTTATTTACTAAAACAAAATGTTGTTAATTGTCTTTATCTTCATTTAGAAAAAGTTTATGAAAGAATGTTATATCAATGACGAATAAGTTTATTTGAAAAATGTTATATCAATGACAAACGAGTTTATTTGAAAAAGAATCAAAGTCATGTGACCAGTTAGCCAAATAATAAACATGTTAGACTATTTACAAAAGGATCCAATAAACAAAGTTGTAAAAATAAATATATTTACTCATAAAACTCTATAGATCTTTCCAAAGCTTGCTGAACATCTATGGGATAATCTCCAGGATCGCAATTTCTGACTCTTCCTATATGTTTGCTTTTGTTTAGTAAATGTTTCTAAGAATATTTTAATTTAGTATACAACATAGCATCAACAATATTTCCAAATGTATTATATGTAATAAAGATACATACATGTATATTCTTTATTACAGAAAATATTTGATGAAACAAAGCATAAAAATTTAATAAAACAAGAAATAAAATACTTAATGGAAACAAGACACAAAATTTAGTCAACAATAAAAAAAATTAATAACAAAATGTTGTAATTATGTAATAAAAATAAATTTTATACTTTTCAACTTTTGATTATCACTGTTGCAAAAATTCAGTGTTCACTTTTTACAATAGTAATTTATTTTTAGGAAAAAACATTTCTCAAACAAAAATGTTTTCATTACCTTTCAGAAGAATATAACCATGACACATGGTTTTTTTGTATCACGTGGAAGTATTTTTCTGATGGCTGTGCAATGTAACTTTAAAACTTTCAAAACTTATCCTTCAATTTATCTTATCACAGCATAGACTTTGATTTAAATGATGAATGAGTATTTTTTGCTACCAGCTACAACAAATCTTTCTGTGATGGTATTTGTGCGACTGTTAAAATAGTAGTTTGTTAAAAAAGTTCAAAACAAGTATCTAATGGGCAGATTTTGGGTGTTAAATATAACATAAACAAATTTTAATGTTGATCTATTTTTTGTGTAAATTCAAAATAACAGGCATTTGTTTTAAGTTACTTTTAATGGAATTGACAAGAACAGTTCCAAAACAACAACGATCATCATTTTATTCCTATTAGTTCAAATACAATAAGTTATAGACAAAAAATGTGAATACATTAAATTATTCCAAAAAACAAAAATAAGGAAGAGATTTCATTTAACATTAAAAAATTAGACTATACTGCATGGTTTTATAATGAATTCGGTAGATAGAGATTGTAGAAGATATTAAATTAAGTTAATTAAATAATTAACTTGATATTAAAGATTGCAAAATTTATAACAATTTAAATAAAAAAATCTTCAATAATTATAAATAGTAACTATTTATAAATATTGAAGATTTTTTTATTTAAATTGTTATAAATTTTGCAATCTTTAATATCAAGTTAATTATTTAATTAACTTAATTTAATATCTTCTACAATCTCTATCTACAAACTAAGTTTGCAAATAGGTGCAAAGTTTTAATCAAATACATATGAAATTTTGAAGGAATTTTGAAATAATAGAGTGGATTGTTAATTATGGTCTTAATAATTATTTTAGATAGAGATATATGTCAAAAAAACAACAATATAATTATCACATTAAATAATATTTTTACGAATATCTATTTTATTTGAAAGAAAATAGAATGCTCATCAATACACGTTTTTTATATTTAAGAAGAGTTTTATACAAGATAGTAATCTTTAATATTAAGTTGATATTAAAGATTGCTAATAAACTAATCTGAAATGTAAAAGTGACAAAAATTTTGTGTGTGGATGATTTCATATGGAACATGGTGTCTGCCAATATTCAAAGGTGGATTTCCATGATTTTATCCTGATCCGCTTGTTTTTTTAGATTTAATTTAGAGACATTCTGTGGAATGACCCATCATTATGATGGGTCATTCAACAGAATGTCTGCTAGATCAGAGAAATTGGGTTATGTTTACAAAAATCAGTAAGAAATCAAAGATAATAGCTCTTGGTCAAACTTACGTTATTAGGTAAAGTTGTTTATTGTACACGCAACATTAAACTTCATTTGACAGATATGTTGATCATTAAAACAGACAGATCATTTAAATAGACAGATCTTTTAAAAAGATAGAATGATGATCATTTAAAAAAAAAAAATTTTTATATACAGTTGTCATATGTTTGCTAATAAAACAGGTTTAACGTACACTTTGATGCATTAACAAGGAATTTTACAAAAGTATCAGACTTTTGTTAAATTATTGTTTTGTTTTTGTTTTGTTTTTGCAGACTTAGTCAGCAAATACAAAACAAAAAGGTACTAAAATTAGAAATAGGTGAGCATCAATAATGAAAATATAAGTTAATCAATTTAAACCCAAGAATTTTTATAAGTATATTATTACCTAATGATTTTTATTTACATGATTACAAACAATTCAATATTGAATTTTTGATCTTTGGATAAAGATTTTGTTGTTTACTTTAAAAAAGCCGCATGTTGGATTTATTTATTTATTCTTTTTATCACCCAAGTTACGGTAGTCTCTCTTTTCAAACCCCTATTACGACATTGAACCTCTTTGACGTTTAAAAACTGGGATATTTAGAGGATAGGCAAATTGGGATATAAAGAGATATGCGCATCGCAGCGTATATACATCTACTAATTTATATAGCTATAGGCACATTGAGTGGGCACAAATTGACTTATTTACCCCCCCCCCCCTCCTCCTGTTTTTATGATTGATTATTATAGAACACGTGATACTGATTCTAAGTCAAATAAAAACATAGGTCTGAAAACTTGAGGGAAGTACTCTAATTTAATGTTAAAGTATAAAAATCTACATTAAAAACGCTAATATTCTACCATCTCTTTAAAAACATTTTAGCACTGTTTTCAAAATTTAAGAAATTAATTTTTTAACTACGCGACACGGGTTTTATTCTCGTTTTCTATTTTTCTAAAATTAATTACAAATGTACATGCATCGACTGACAAATAGGAATCGGCGCAACTAAAAGTACATACATTAACTGACAAATAGGGATCGGCAAAAATAAATGTACATACATCTACTGACAAAATGGCGAAATTAAATGTATATGGGAATTAAATGTACATGATTTAGGTCAGGGTTTGGTTGGGGCAGGAAATCAATAATAAATACGTTTTAAACATTGCGTTCTCTACTGCAGGCCTATTCATCGCGCAACCGGATTTTTTAGTGGAGGCCTACTTTTTTACGACGAAAAAGATAATAACTTCGTAATTTTAAAACTAAAAAGTAATTTTAATTCTCGGTATAGCCTAATTTTTTTTTTTTGATGAAAAAAAAATATTAGGCTATACCGAGATAATAATAAACAATTTCAATAAAAGGCAAAGAAATTTTATCAAATTTCAAATTTTAAACATTTAAATAATTATATTATTTCAAAGCAATTGCCAAAAACATGGGTTGAACACTTCAGATAATGAACCTTCCAATACCACTGCTCTGGATAATAACCTCAATATTTCTTATTAAATTGATAATAAAATTAGTGAATTTGAAGCTTTTTCTGATAACGATTCAGATAAAAGTGATAAGAATATTTAAATAGATGAACTAGAGGATGATTTAGCATTTTGATCTTCTCAGCATAATATCACACAAAATTTCACTGATTTAATTTGCTGATCTATGACCAGAGCTGCTTAAATGTTAATGCATCCTAAAATTTTATTCAAATTTGTTTTTTTTTATGTATTTAAATAAAACTCATTATATATTGTATTTTTTATGCTATATTTTATATGATCTCATCATCATTGTCATTATCCTCCACCTTTATTTTCCTTTACTCTATATATTTATTCAACCTTTATTTTAATTTGGCTTCGAGTAAAACAAATACTTTACTAAGTTTTAATTATTATTTGTTGACTAAAGTATACACTTATTAACTCCGTTAATGTTTAGCCTTAAATTATTTTTACTGAACATCGTAATTTCTTAAGGTATTATTTTGTATTTCATGTATACTTTTTAATGTATACTTTAAGGTGTTTATAATATACCGTAAAAATTTCTATAAACTATATTTTAACATTAGACTTATGTGTTAAGAGTACAGAAGTAACCTGATGAAAATTATGATAGTGACTCACAAGATTTTATTGAACATCAAGAATTAAAAAATTCTTGTCTGCAGAAACCTGTCTCTGTATTAAACAAAAGTAAAACCAATATCATAATTAAAAAAAAACACATAATTTTCATCAGGTTACTTCTGTACTCTTGTGAATAATAATTAAAAAAAAAATACAAGATTGGAAAAAGTGATCGTAATTACCTCTGTGATTAAGGTATTTTAACTACTAAATAAAAGTTAAAACACTATCATAATTTTCATCAGGTTACTTCTGTACTCTTAACACATAAGTCTAATGCTAAAAATAGTTTATAGAAATTTTTATGGTATATTTTAAACACCTTAAAGTATACATGAAATTCAAAATAATACCTTAAGATATAACGATGTTCAGTAAAAATAATTTAAGGCAAAACATTATATTAAATATGTGGTAGTGGAGTAGTGGTAAGAGCTCTCGCTTTGTAAGCGAGAGGTTTGGAGATTGACTCGAACAATGTCCCTGGAAGTACCGCGCTCAACTTAAGTTCTCCGCGCAGCGGCCTTGCTTGTCAAGGTTCCTGTTTCGGAGTTAAAAAGTTGAGAGAGGGTTGTACAACAATTTACAACAAAAAATGAAACAAAAAAAAAACAAAAAAAACAAAGAAAATGAGTAGCCTCCTCGACTGTAGTGGCCCCCTCGGGCCTTGGGAAGGTGAATAATTAAAAAAAAAAAAAAAAAAAAAAAAAAAACAAGATTGGAAAAAATGATCATAATTACCTCTGTGATTAAGGTATTTTGACTACTAATTTGTAGCCTATAGCAAAACATTTTATGAATTATAACTAATGTTAATAAAAAAAAAATGAACCAAATTGTTTTACTAGTAGAAACAATTTTTTTTAAGGTGAAAGGAGTAGCAGCAAAAAGGGAAGTAGCAAAAAAATTGAATTGGACAGGGCAAGGGATCTTCAAAAAAAGTCTTTCCAAATTCTTAAATTTTGTTAAGTTATTGAAAGTAAGTTAATAAATATAATAATAAATAAATGTAAATATTTAAAATTGTCTTCCATTATTTTCTTTACTTTATTGTCATTAAATTTATATATGAGTGTTTCTATGTGTGCGTGTGTTAAAAATTGTTACCAATTGTTAAAAATTGTTACCAATTGTTAAAAATTGTTACCAATTGTTAAAAATTGTTACCAATTGTTAAAAATTGTTACCAATTGTTTAAAACTACGTAAAGCACCAAAAAAGAGTTTTTAATATTTTTTTATTTATTTTGAAATATATAGTATAAAGAAATATTTTAACTCATATTATGATTTAAACTTGATTCAATTTTTGAATCAAAACCTGCTCGATTTGAGATACAAAAAAAATTCGTGTTTTTCTAAAGGAATTGTTTTTACAAAATAAATTAAAAATTTTAAAAAAATTAAAAAGGTTTAGAAGGGGGTAAAAATACCTAACAAACTAACTATAAATATCTATTTAATATTAAGAAAAGACATTGTTTGTAGAGTTCTAAGTTTTTAGTTATAGGCATTAAAAACTTGTGTCAAGGAAGAAACGATATGTTCCTTCCGTGACACAAATTTGATGGCTATAAAAAAAAAGTTATTATTCCACATGCAATATCTTTACCTGAAATGAAATAAGTTTTTAAAGGTAGCATGTTAGGTATTATTTGCCCCCTTCTAAAAGTTTTTATTTTTTTTTTTGAATTTCCAATTTAGTTTATTAAGGTCATTCCTTTTAAAAAGAAAAAACTTTTTAATCCTGCCCATATCTTTATGTATATATATATATATATATATATATATATATATATATATATATATATATATATATATATATATATATATATATATATATATATATATATATATATATATATATATACATATATATATATATTATATATATATATATATATATATATATATATATATATATATATATATATATATATATATATATACATATATATATATATATATATATATATATATATATATATGTATATATATATATATATATATATATATATATATATATATATATATATATATATACATATATATATATATATATATATATATATATATATATATATATATATATATATATATATATATATTTATGTATATAATATATATTTATGTATTTATATATATATATATATACAAAGAGAGAGAAATACATATATAGACATATACAGATATATACAACAGCTATATTTAGCTATACTCTTATAATTTTGTTTATAAAAAAACTTGATATATGACTGCGTTTAAGCAATACGAAGAAATTTGCTGACAAAAGATACCACATACAGCGAAATTAAAAAGGCAGTTGTGGCTTTTTTTTCTGGAGCTCTAGACAGAAATAGAGGCAGAAAAGAAAAAGCAGAAAAGAAGTCCATCCAGAAAACTTGTTCAACAAAAAATCGTGGCTATACTGCCCAATCATTGCCATTGAAACCTTTATATGGATTATCATTACCACGATTTGAACGCTTTATTTTTGATGAATCTGACAAAGTATAATGTTCTCAAAGTCTTGCATGATCTGTTTTATATGTTATGTCTTATATTAATTGTATATTTGACATAATTATAAGCTTTACAAGTATTTATATTATTAATAATAAATTTAATGCATTTATTTTTTAAATATTTTTAATGCAAATTTATTAACTAGTAAATTATTAACAAAAAGTATATTATAAGAATTTAACCACGGCGCTGGTGTGCCAGGCCTGGTACAGCTCGGCAGCCGAGCCTGGTTCGCTATTGGGCCAAGTAGTGTCTACTTACTGGGTAATTGTATTTTCGCAGAAATTTTGGATCCAGCCCAACTATTTTTCAAAATATTTCAATTTTCGCTTTCGCGCTTATAATACCGTAATCTACCTTATAAACAGATGTAACGAAAACAGTTTAACAAAATGTTAACAACATCAAACTATCAATTAATCTTAGATTTTGCAAAAAATCATTTAATAACAAAATTACGACAAAAGGTCTTTACCTATTATAAAAAAATCTTATTATTTTATGAAGTTTTAATACTTGTAACCCACCCTTAAATATTTATTAACCCAAACCTTAAATATTTTTTCCAAATAAAAAAAATATAGATCTTTTCATATTTTTAAATATTTTCATATTTGCGGACTATACTAAAAGTCGAAGCTTGCTTACTTTTATTTAAGAATTTCTAAATTCTCCTTCAAGTAGTTCTTTAGCAAAGTTTCCTAACACAACAAATTTGTTACAAAAGTGTTTCTTATAAC